TGGTGACCTGACCTCTGCCCCCAGTGCAGGGAAATGGCATATATGTTCTGCTGGGATCAGATTCTCCGCCTCGGACAAGAAAAGATAAAAGCTTTATTTAAAAATAGAGACATCACTCTCGGATTTGTCAGTCATACTGTACATTTTCCCCTCTGCCAGTCTATGTTTACCAAAACAAAATAAATGTATGAGGGAGAGAGAAGAAGGTCAGAATATCAAGTGTCAAAAGTAGCCCATGAAATTTTATTGGTTGTGCATTTAATCAGTGCTAAGCGTTTTTTACAAGGTACATACAAACAGTGGAATTGTAAAAATTTATGGAATGCTGTGTACAGTGTGGCCGTTTATGAAGAAAGGAAAATTTATATCCAGTTGAAATAAACCAGAGGGGAATGTTTTATGGAGGCTCTGCAACGGCAGGGTACATCAAGTGAGGTCTGGATGAGGGGAGGATTTGCAGGGTCTTGCTGATCTTTGAGGTGTTTTTGTGCTTCTTCAGCAGCGAACACTCTGTGACTCTCACGCGTGGGATGCTCGATACAGTGATGGTGTGGTGTTTTGGGTTTTTTTTCTGTGCAATGGGAAGGAAACACAAATGAACAGCTGCTACTGGTATCTCTGGTATGAGGCTCTCGCTCTTGAGCTCATTCCAGTCCAACAGTTTCTTGAGCAGCCCTTAATATCCAGCTGGGAAGGGTTAACTGAAGCCAATCTGCATCAGCATTTTTTTGTTTCTTTTCTGGTCCAGTATTTTGTTGATGATAAAGCACAGTCTTAGTCAATTGAGAGATTCCAGAGCTGCAGAATCAGAGATAATTTAATTAACGGAATTGCTTGTGATTGCCCACTGGGACAGCGGGTAGGAATTGCTCGATTTAATTTGGAGAAACAAAGATCACATGCATGCTAATGTTTGACAAATAACCAGTGTTTGGGTTAAAGTTTTTTTGTTGTTTTTTTTTTTTTGCAAAGACGAGGGGCAACCGATCAGCCAATTCTCAGGGGAGATTTCCCAGGAGGTAATTGCTGAGTAACAGCTCAAAGCTACAGATAGGTCCTTTCTCCTCTTCCACGGTATTTTTGTGCTTTTCCTCTGGCCATTTACCTGGACAAAGCAAAGGTTTTGCTCAGAGGAAGAAAGTTTGTTCTTATTTTCAGTGCTCAGAGGAAAATGCCATGAGCAGTAGAAGAATGTGCATCAGGCACAATTACTGAAGACCTGCTGTCTCCCTAGTCTCATAGACTTGCATCCTCGACTATGACCACCAGGTTGTTGAAGAATTAGCGACAAAGTCCGGAGAGAAGTGCAGGACCAAGATTCCTGCCTTCGAGGAGTCCTCCCTTCCTTCATGTTTTTTGCTCTTCAATAAACATTCTCGCTTAGGCTCTCCTGTTTGTGGGCATCTAAGTCCACAGTGAGGAGGGTGTGGATGTGCCTTCTTGATACATCCTCGGCCAGGGAGGACGGTTCAGGTTTCGATGGGGCTGCTCGCGCCGGCGTGGTCGGGGAAGCAGCAGCGCTGGGGCTCGAGGTGTTGCTCCTGGCAGCAGTTGTGCTCAGTGCATCTCTCTGGAGGCTGATAAATGACGTTATCCGAACACGTCAAATCAGAGCGCTGAGGCGCAAAATTGTTAAAAGAGTCCTCCCGCATCCAGCACGAGGTCAAGGCA